AAACTTTGCGTTAATTTAATTAAATTTTAAATAATTATATAAAAAATAAATAAAACTTAATAATAATAAAGTTTGTATTCAATATATTTGTTGGACTTTTAATAAAATGCCGATTAAATAGTAATTACTAATTAGTTTTAAAGTCATTAACACTTAACGGCATTAGCAAAATAATAGGCGTTTACAAATTATGACAAAAAACGTGACAGTATCACTCGGATTTTACGAACACCAAAATTCTGACAATATATTTTGCAGTTGGATATCATATTAAAAATCAAAATATAAATAACCATTATAATTTCGGCTAAACTAAATGCCGGTTATGTTTTCTCACATATATATAATAATTATATTTAAGATAATTAAGTTTAATGAATTTATAAGAATTTTTACATTAACATAATGTTAAATTCAAAAAAATTCAAACTTATTTTTGATGAAAAGTGCCATTTAGGTTTTATGTAATTTTTATGTTAAGTCCTAATATGATACTAAAAAGTTTGTATCTTGAATATATTTTGAGTTATTTAATTAATTGTATTTGTAAATAATTTTTAAAGTAAAAAAATAATAAAAATATTAACTCAATTTTAAAACTATGTTGATAATATTGAAAATTAGAGAAAGCCATGTTGATTTGATTTATTAAAACTTTGAATTATATATATCTAAAATTTTTAATTAAAGTCTTAAGATCAATAACTCAAAATAAATTCACCATACAAACTTTATAATATCATATTCGGACTCAGCATTAAAAATTACATAAAACCTACATGGAATTTTTCATCAAAAATAAGTTTGATTTTTTTTAAATTTAACATTATGCCTATGTAAAAATTTTTAAAAATTCATTAAACTTAATTATTTTGGGGAAAACAGGATCAAAATCAAATTATCCGGTCAAAAGTTATTATGTTATCATTACACTGAGGTAGATAAGTTAAGTATTAATAAAGAGGTATGGATGAGACAAATTAATATTTGAAAGCATTTTCTAATTCTGATGTAATTTTAACAAGTGATTTTAGAATATAATAAAATCTGTAAATTTTGTATGTTATTTGTAGTGAAAACATTTTAATTTTAGTCTATTTATAGTAATTGTAATTGCAAATATCATAATAATTACTTTATTGTTAATTTGTTACCAATTTAAAACATATTCTAACAAAAATAGGCACGCATTTATGTGCAAACTTTTTTAAGTCAAGTAATGAGAGTCCATTTATATAGAGAAAGACTGTCGGTTTAAGGTTTGTCAGAGACATTAGACGGTCAACAAATGAGCTGGATTGAATTTTCATATTTTCCAATTATATTTGAATCATATTTGAATAGCTAGACTCTTAATGTCTATTGGTTGGTAATTATTACCAAGATATGCTTTCGTCACTTAATCAATTAAATTAAAACTTAAAAAATTTTATTTCACTTTTAAAAGCATTCAAAATGTGTTCAAAAGTTTTTCACTCGACGTTCATATATAACGTGACGATATTTCACGCATTTAAGCCCCACTTATCAGACAAAGCGTTTGAATAGCAAAGAAATGATTGGCAATAAAAAGCGCTAAAAATAGTGTTACAAACATATGTTGTAATCGCTTTATAATTACCAAAACAGTATTGTTTAACTCAATACAAACACAACTGATCACGTTTGGCACTCATGGCTGATAAGATTATCTGCTATAATAAACCTATGGTTACTTTAGTTCATTGATCCAATCGAGAGAGTAATCTCAAGTGCATTACATAATAGCAAACATCTCTCCCAACGCCTCAAACCTACAGACGTTTTATATGAAGAGTTGTCACATATATTGCGGCCGTAATTGATGTGACATTTAGTGTGAGATTTGAATATTGAAGTCATCTTTAAATACAAGACATTCAATGAGTGGTAATATTGAGGACACTATTGAAGACAATCGTTGACAACGGATCCGATGGCAGAGCTGTGCGACTGGCGTCTCATCGATTTCGCCGACGATGTCGATTGGGATCAACTGTACGACCGGTTCAACGATCGTCCCGAAGAGTTGGAGGCAATGGTCGAAAGCAAAGTGGAGGAAGTGATACAACGGGTGGTCCACGAGATCAAAGACATCGCCGCCACGAATGACGAGTTCGACGCTCTCGTCAGACAACACGACAAGTATGTCATGTGAAGGGATCAGCTCTCATATGAGCCACGCATTGATGGCAAACACATGTCTTAAACGATAATTTGTGGTCTCTTTTCTATAGGACAACGGAAACGACAACAGAAACTATCGCCGAAACCATCTATTATGACGACAAGTATATCTATTATTCGGATCCAATTCAACGGGTTATAGACATCGATGAACTAAAACAACGCATGAATAAAGCGGTTGCCATCAGTCAACCGGCGAATGAGACAACAGATCCATTGGCTGCCAAAACACCGGACACGACTGCAGACAAGTCAACGGATCAATTAGTCGAGAAGACTATAGACAAATCGGCGGACGTGACTACCGTTGACACGAGCGTTAAGCCCGAAGAACACGAGTCTAAAGCGTCCGAAGAGACCCAAACCGATGACAACATTGAAATCATGGAGTTGTCGGTCATATATGAGGGCACATCCGCTCCCAAACGTGACACGAAGAGCGGCTTCAAGCGATTCATTCGCTCGTGAGTCCCATATAGACGTCAATTATGTTTTACAGACAACTCATTTTGTACTCAATTATGTTTATGCAGACAAATATGTAATGAGAACCGTGTGTTCGCCGCCTCTAACGGTATACTCACCTACGCGTGGAAACCGGCGAAAGTGACCAAAGTATTAAACATGTGGAACATGTCTGTGGTCTTCGACGACAAGTCCGTCATCGGCGGCAATATGTTGTCCAATAAACTGATCGCGTATTCACAGCAATCCGATTGTGGTCTAGAAATCGGGGAGCGAGTCGTCGGTAAGCATTTCATACCTCACAGTGTTTTCAATTGATTATAATTTGTTAATTATATTCTGTGTTTGATATGTGAAGCGTATCTACAAGAAGGCAATTACTGCCGCGAACTCTATTCGGGAACCGTTGCGGAGCCGGCGAAGAACACAAACAATTTCCGATATCTGATATTTTTTGACAAACACGCGTACAGTTACGTCAAACGCGAGGATATTTACTACATTTATGACAAATCTAATGGTATTATTAAATATTACATTTTGATATACAATATACAATATCTTTACCCACATTTCACGTGCAATATGTTTGATGCTTACAATTTGTTCTATGGTTTAGTTGACGCCATTTTCGCCGAGAAAGACAAAGAGGATTACATCGAAATCAAAGAGTTCGCCGATTTCTTGATGGCTTATATTCGCAATTATCCCGAGAGACCAATGGTTCGCCTCCAGAGGGGCGACGACCGCATTAAAGTCCGATTTGATAGGCGATGGTTAGCTCTGATTATCCCATAGATTTGGCTCTCATTACTAATTAATGATTTTTGACTGTAATTAAAGGGAAAGCGGAAGGGTTTTGGAGATCGACTCGAGTCTAGCGCTCATTGAGTTTTATAAATTGCCAAAACCTCACTCGGAATGGATATATAGAGGCTCTCGAAGACTATATGATATCTATAAAGAGTGTCAAACGTCGACATCCAATGTCAGACATCACGGCAGGTCTACCACAAGAGTGACGCGACGGTCCGATAACCGGCCGCACGTCGAGTGGGATAACGACGAGGAGAAAGAGAATGAAGAGTCAGAACAGCCGACGGCCGAAGACATTGACGACGATATTATAGTTGTGCCAAAAGAAGAGGCGAATCGTAAACGAAAATTCAAACAAACGGCCAGAAAATCGACGGCCAAACCCTCGGGAAGCGTGTCCTCCGCGTGCGATCCTATGAGACTCATAGACAACGAACTGTTCACTCCATCGGAAGTATCTGTGGAACAGTTCCCAGACGTGACTCGAGTTATACCGAGACAATATGCTCAACACATGTGTTCAGCCGATTGTGTTAATGGTATTATTTATTTGG